TGAAAGTATGTGCATTGCTCTTATCCTCATTCCCACTATCATTCCACCTTATTTTGCTTCTATGCTTAAGTTACACTTAGTCAGGCAAGTTTCAGTCAAAATGGAAAATTATAAGCACTAGAAAAGTGAAGTTTAGAATGAAAGTGTTTGTGTCTGGGGTCACGGTCATTACCACTGCAGCCGCAGTATTTACTATCTAACACAAAAATAAGTAGTTCTAAAGTTATGGTGCCATAAGCCTACCAATGAAAATAAAAATCATTACTACAATTATACTGGCATAAAATGAAATAATTTCTAGGATTTATGACTAAACAAACTGTGTACATACACTAAGGTTGGTACACTGCGTGTGCCATGGCCAGAGATGGCATGCTGAGAAAAGCTGCAGAAGATGGGACAAAACTGTGTGAAACGTTATCAGTGCCAGTAACTAAACTGACAGTGTTATTTCCCTACATCTGCAACACAGCTACTCACAACCTGCCTATTCCAGCAAGATTTGATTATAAAAATCAGGAGATACACAAACTGGTCCTAGACTGAGGATGAACCCATATCGTTGCTTCTGCTGCTCCATTTAACTGCAAGTATGTGCACACGAACAAGTCAGGATGAAGTTAGAGTGGGGATTCTAAGAGAAGCAGCTGTTCTGTGCTCACTGCTAACACACACCTTCTAACCCTTGGTAAATGCATGTGAAACAGCAGCTATCACACAGCAGTTACTGCTTAGAAAGCCAAATTCAAGTTTATCACCAACTTGTTTCTGTAGCCATTTCATGGGTTTCTTTTCTAAACTTCTTACCAATTTTAACATTGGCTAGTTTGATGATCTCCAAGAACTGCTTTTTGCTGACCTCCCTTTATCCAGACTGTAAGAATACAAGGATCTTGACAGACCATAGAAGAACAAGATTCTGCTACTGCTTTTGATGCCATGTTTTAATCAACATTTCTTATTTCCTTTGATTTGATCTCAGTACTAACAGAACACGGAAGAAGACGAGGTACCAACAGCTACACTGAAATTTTGAAATACTTACTTATGATGACTGCTGCTGTGACGATGATGGTGGTGGTGATGGTGGTGGTGGTGTTTTGAATGATGCTGGTCTTTCTCAGTAAGAGATGAGGATGAGGAGTTAGAATGTGAAGATCCTAGGCTCTTCCTCTGTTCTTTTGTCTTCTGTAGCACTCTCTTGTAGGACAGCGTACAGAGCCAACACAACAACTTCCCATCAACCTGTTGGAAAATAATTCATAGCAGGGTTTTTTTCCAAGTATACTTGCACTAGAAAGATGTATTTCAATATTTGCAAGAAAAATTTGTTTCTCTTCATCTGGTATCTTTGGGAAAAATGCAGACATCTCTTTGGTAAGAAGCAGCACTACCATATCCATGTTATCCTTTAGTGAAGTGAGTATTATTCCATTTCTTTTTGTCATTTAAAGTTATGCCAGAGAGTAGTCTTATCAAATGTTGGACTTGCTCTATATCACAGAAGTGACAAAAACTTTTTAAAAGGACAAATCATTTTTAGTTTAGATACCACGTACCCTCTCTTAACTCATCATATTCCAGACAGAATCAAGATGTCCAACCAATGTGTTACATGTAGCAAGTAAACTCTTCTATGAAACCAGCATTACTCTTGCCTTCAGGCAAGAGACTTTTGAGGTCATTTCCTCAGCACCTTCTGGAATGAGAAATGGCACTCACCAAAGCTATTTAAGAAAACAGAACACAGAGGGCTGCTCAGAGCAGTCTACCTCTCTGATGCTTACTTTGAGGCAAAGTAGGCAAATCAGAAGAGGTAAAGATTCAAGTTCTGGAGATATGTATGAGCCATCAGATAGAAGAATTAAAAAGATCCGAAAAATCAAAGCACCAGGAACTGTTCAGCTGCTTAACCTCTGTTCCCCAGCTAGAACTGTTAGCTTATGCTTATTTTTAAAAAGAGTGATTTAACTTAAAGTTAACCCAGCAGCTAACATAACAACTGCAAGTTGGAAAGTTTAAATCAAATATTGTAAAGCACAGCAACTTTAACCTAGTATTAGTGAACTTAAGAAACATTCCTGTTAACCTTTCTCTTATGAAGGAGGAACACTGTCCGTTCCACAGCTGTGGAACAAAGCCTACCTTCCTTCTTCCCTCCTCTTTTCGATCAAAAGCACACTGCTGTTTGCACTGTTCACATGTCTGAGGTGGGCCGTACTTCTTCTCCGAGTTGGTGCAACGCTGACATTTTGTGCCAATAAATGCTGCAATAATGTTACAATACTGACAAGGCTTGGGCTGAAAAACAGGCAAGTTGAACTGAAGTTAATACATTTACAGTTTCTGTAATGAACACAGGTATTTAAAAATCACACGATGCTTTTAAACTACTAGGGCTTCATATAACCTATCTTAAAGAACCTTTTTCCTACCACTTCTATTGACTTTCCATGAAAATCCATAATTCAATGGAAAAAAAACCCAGACAATGTGATTGCTCACCTCTATACCTGCCTCTTATTTTTTAAAAATATGATGTCTTTTCCTTATTTTACTACATGACTAAAAAAATTACTTAAAAATTTTAAAAAGAGTAATAAAAGTAATTTTTTTTAGATTGAAAGTTTCTGAAAACATCCCTGTCACTTGTCCTACTCACAGATTTGATAACCCTACAGATCCAAGATTTGTAACCTGCAATTCTGCAGGACACTTAGGAAAAAAACAAAAAAACAACACAACAAGCCACAAACTTCAGATACCATCAGGTCAGGTTATCAACTTTTATATCATACACTCAACTAGAATAATATGCTGCTGGAAAATAAAATTGCTGCCAGTTTTCATAGGTTAGAAATGTTTGATGATCTTCAATGCAGTTCCATTTTCTGATGAGCTACTGAAAAACCATTGTTGATCTATCTCACACCTCATTTTGCTACATTTTAAGCTTTTCAAAGAATGTATTTTGTTCAGTTTACATTTACATTCACAAAACACCTGACTATACACAGACAGCTGCCACATTTCTCAAATAAGCTGAATTTCATCTAATGTGGTTTATGTCAAGCATATAGAGATTATACGCTTCTGTTTCACAAGATTATACCTTCTTTAAACTAGTATCTGTGGGGTGTTCAAATACTATGTGTATATTCATATATTAAAGATTTTCCTAACAGGACTGAATCTGAAATTCAAGATGAGAAAATGCGAAATAACATGGATACAGCTAATACTCAAAATCTTTTCTGCTTAATAGCTTAACACGATTAACATGCATTTAAAATTTTTAAGGCTTCCATAATAGAAAGTATATGGTATTACTAGATTTTCACATTTACCACTCATTAAAAACCACAGACAGCTAACATTCTTTCTGCCATCAAGTGTCTGTTCATGAGAATATGCAAGGAATAACGTTACAGGCACAAAGTGAAATAGTATCAGTTTTGCTATGAACAGCTATAGTGCAGTTATTTGTAACTGTTAAGCTACAACATAAACATGATAAATTTCAATTTGAAAAACAAAACGTTAAGCCATAAAGGAAACCAAGAGCAGCCAGTATTTTTCATCACCTTTCCGAAAGGTAATGTTTTTTCCCCAAAAAGAAAGTAAGATTAGTTGCCAGAGAACTTTTTTCAAATTTAAAACGTGAATGAACTTAACTTCAACGTTTAGAACTAAGAGCCTACTCACCGTTCCAAACTGCTTCACGTTTTGGGCACATTTCTTGCATATCGTATTAGTTTTGCTAAAGATAAAATTGCATAATGTTGAATTCAGCGACAAACACACACCTTGAAATTCTTTGCCATGCAATTACTGGAAAACACACATGCAAACACACGCTGTGGTAAGCAGTTAACGATAAGCCAACAAATCTAACATCGTACTGCGTTTATGCGACACACTCGTGTCGCCAGAGCAGGCAGGTTATTTTACTGCGGTTCTGCCCTCTTTAGTATCTCCAGCGGTGTGAGTTTCTGCCGTTACAAACGGTTACGCCCGTGGAACAGCCGTCCCTTCTGCAGGTCCACCGACCGCCTGCGGCAGGACTTCAGCAGGTCACGCACAGGGCGAGGCGGGACCCTCCCCTACCTCTCCTGCTGAAACTCCGACCGGCAGTAAGTGCATTTCACGATGGGGTGGGCGATCCGACACTCCTGGGGAGAGAAGAGCGGCGTTACTGCCCTTTGCCGAAACCCTCAAACCGACCTCACCCGGCGCTCCGCGGCCGGTCCCCCGCCGGGCGCTGCCTGAGGGGCGTCCCGCCGGGCCGGCGGCTGCCTCCCCGCG